TCATGATGTAATTTCTTTGAGGTGAGCTTTTAATCCAGGGAATATGGTATCTTGCTTAACAAGGGTTCTGCTGATAGGATTTGACAACATTTCACTGGAAACTAAAAAAAACTGATAGTGAGTTTTCTCATTGTTATAACAACTATTTTTAGAATCACAGTGATTTATGAACTTTTCATAAGCAATAGGGGAGTAATAAGTAAATATTTGACACAATATCATGCCTAAACAAATGTGACCAACATCTTTGGCAAATATTTATGAAGAAACCAGTGTACAATGTTATTTATTTCATACAGCTCAGCTCATCAACACTGATATTTTGATGGGATTTTATGGGAGAAGCTTTCGGCTTGTTTCTCATGTCCACAAATGCACTGGTCCTGTATCTGGAGTTGTTTTGCACTCGCGTCCAGAATACACAAAAAAGCCCAACTCACTGTGCAGGGAGACCAATCAGACAGCAAGCAGATTTTCCCAGGGGCCAATCGGCTCGATGGTCGCCAGCCAGGTCAACCTGCCAAGGAATTAGGATGCGACACAGTAATTAATCGTCCCTGGCACCGGACCATCTGCGGAGCTTGCAGAAACCACACAGTTCTCTAATTAAACCGGCTGGAGTGAGGGCACAAATCCTGCCGCATGGAACATGGCCTCCAGTGGCAGGTGTAGGGAGGAGCGCCCCTCCCTCACCGGCAGGGGCTCACAGATTATCCCGGGGGGGCCCGAGAGATAGGGAGGGCTTTCTGGGGCTAAGCATCGCCATCTGCAACAGCTTCTTTACCAGAGGATAAATGGAGGGGGGGCCAGCCCTACGGGCCCCAGAGGGAGCGGACGCCGCTGTGGAACAGTGTGGAGCTCCAATCGGATGTGCTTGGGCTACAGTTTGTCAGTCACCCCCCCCCCCCTCCCCGAAATGACACCCCTTACACTTTTGATGATCCACAGCGACATTTTGGAGCTGTTGGAGAAGATACTGAAAATAGAGATGCATAAACTCTTCCAGATTATCTGGGCAGGACAATAGCTTGGCAAATACTGTCCTTCATTAAGAATAGAGCCAGGAGTCTACAATCAATTCCCAGCTCCTGTTGCTCAAGTGAGTGTTTGGGCCACGTCTTTTAATTGGGATGTGGCATGTAGGTCCCCTGCTGGGATTTGAAGGCCACATCACCCCAGTCACCACATCCTGCTGTAAGATTTAAATGTGTAAAATGTGAAAATTGACTGGTCGAAATACATGGAGATACCGGATGCAGATGGATGATCTGAAGGCAAAAAAGGCATATTCTATATATTATTCATTATTAGTGGTATTGTACATATTGATGCATTCCCAATAATTCGGACCTTGAAAATTTCCAACCTCTTACATAAAAACGTACTACAGAACGGCAGAACAGGATGGATTCTTAATACAAATTTACACAAGCTAATGCTGATTCCGCTAGCATTTCCTGCTAACCTAACACAGCGCTTCTCACAGATGTGCTAGCGGAAATTAGCACATACTAAATCGCGATGTACACAGTGTGAACAGTAAACAAGCGTCTCTTCGGCTTTACGTCACTGTCGCTCTCCAGACCTGGCAGCGCCCTTACCGAGCTGACCCTTCTGTGGCGGAAAACCGAAGCGAGCTCGGAAGCGTGCTGTGCTTAGCAGTACGGCTCGGGTAGGGCTCCGTTCTTGGTGGCAGTGGAAACGGACCATTTATTACCTTTGAGAAAGGTGCCTAAATTGCTCCAGTGATGCATCCAGCTGTAGAAACTCAGCCGCTCTGGATAAAGGTGCCAGCTAAGTGAGGTAAAGGAGACGCTCGAGCCATAGAAGACGGCAGTGCCAGCTGAGCTTCCTCCCGGTAGATACAGCATATTTATTGCAGTGCCATCTGCAGTTGGGTGCTTTCCAGTGGCAGTTAGATGTCATCCCTCAGTGGTCTTTGATTAAACATCAGAGGAAGTGGATGTGAATTAAAGGTAAGTGTGTGATGTTTGCCCCCACTCTCATGGCCCAACCATGACTCAGCTGGCATTAACACTTCAAAAGCATGATAATGCCGCCATTTAAGGGTTGCGGTTTTCCCGGGAGAGGAGAGGGCAGCTTTCCTGCCAGCGTATTCCACAGGTACTTCCAGGTGAAGTCACCCCATCCCATTTGTATTTCACAAATATTTTACCTCTGGAGGCTTCAGCTGAATGATCAAATCGCAGGGATTTTGTCTGCTTAGTTTCTCAAACTGCAGGGGCAGCTACACATTTCTGTCTCACTCTTTTAAAGTATTAAAAGGGCGTTTTAGTCATTCTACTGAGTCTCTCGAGAACTCTCTCGACAGATCGCAAGTTGTGATGGGTTAGACGGAAACGTCTGCACTATTTAGACTGAGTCAGCGGCAGTGTGTTTCCGCAGGTCCCCTTGTGTCAAAGGCATCTTCTCTGCTGTCCTGGGGACTTTGCACTGATCTGCACATGTGAGCTGCTCTGCCGCTGCCCTGCCGCTGCTCTGCCGCTGCCCTGCCGCTGCTCTGTCCCTGCTCTGCTGCTGCTCTGTCCCTGCTCTGCCGATGCCCTGCCGCTGCTCTGTCCCTGCTCTGCAACTGCTCTGCCGCTGCTCTGTCCCTGCCCTGCCACTGCTCTGCTGCTGCCCTGCCGCTGCTCTGTCCCTGCTCTGCTGCTTCTCTGTCCCTGCTCTGCCACTGCCCTGCCCCTGCTCTGCCTGTGCCTGACCTCAAGGCCGGGACTCTAGTTTACAGCAGCTCCTGGCTTCAGAGTCATAACAAGGAATGGCCCAGAGCGATCGTGCCATCTGTGCCCATGTAGCCTTGTACACAGATGTAAATATTTCGGTCACACTGCTGTTTGAGCACCTGGGAACACTGAGTACCTGCTCTGGAGGGCGACATATACGTTTAGTTTCCAACTTTGAGTGGTGGAACTGTATGCAAGAGCAAGGTGTTTTCAGGACACTGAAATTGTTTAGTTATTATCCTAAGGTCTGCAAATGTACGGGTAATGTATTGTTCCAGAATATGCATGTAATGTAACATTCTACAATGTTCATGTTATGTAATAATCTAGGACAGAGACATAATCTATTGTTCTAGAAAGTAACTGGATTGTAATGATATAGAATTTCCATGCAAGCTAATCCTCTAGATTGTTCTAGGAAGCACGTGATGTGATATTCTAAAATGTATAAGCAATGAAAAATGCTAGAATATATCAAACTGTCCATATTATTATAGGTTTTCTTATGTAAAAAAATTGAAGAGAGCTGTACATCGCTGTCTGCGTCAGGCTGATCCACTGACTCCCACTACCCAGTTTGAGCGGACAAAGAAGGTTATTGAGCCCCTTCTCAAAATGAATGACGAAATATTTGCAGCTGCTCACTCATTTCCAAGTGGGAATCCTCATTTCTGCCATCTATTGCATACAGTACGGGCAAAGATGGACACATGTGCATCCGCTGTGTATCACATCCATTTGTTACGGAATGTGGCCTGGATGGGCGGCACAGTGAGGTGCCGTGAGGCCTGTGGGTCTGGTGACCATGGGCATTTCCGCAGCTGCGCCAGACCTGCCAGTCTGATGTCCTGCAGCAAAGAGAACCATTCCCAGTGGTTCCTGAAGGACTTTTTCAAGGTTGAAAGACTGAATGACAGAACCACCACGTTCAAACCCACTTCAGACCCACCACTTATAAAGAACATCAGCTCAAAGCGTGTGGCTGGTACAGTCATACTAATAAAACACATGTATTTTTGATGGAGATTTTAAAACCGACAATTTTTGAAGTACCAAGGCCAGAGCGCAGGGAACAAGAGAGCATAAAGACATTTTCTCTAACAGAACAATAAACAGGTTGAAACTAAAAAATAAGGCAAAAATGAAACCTTTAGTGGATTAATACATGAGAACATGTCCTGGCCTGTCTTTTGGTCTGCCTTTCCCAGCCTGAGATTGTTAATTTGATTTGATTGCTCCAGGCTACCGAGACCCAATACTGGGCAAGCAGAGGATCGATGGACAGACGGATGTTGTAGTCTGTATATGAATCAATTTGTTTTATTTCTAAGGTTGTATAATCTGTGATTGTTATATGGGAATATTGCTTTAAATGGAAAGATCTGAATGGATGTAAAGGGACTGGAGTAATAGCTAACATTTACAGCGAATGCGGTGTTAAAATGATGAATTTACTGAAACTGGATCAGGTGCTTTTGCTTGGGAGTCAGACAGCGAGACGTCTTTCTGGAAATTAATGAGATCTGGCAGAGTCCTCGCAAAACCTGAGTGAGACTGACGGCACTTACCTCACCGTTTCCACTCCCACCTGACGTCCGACATAACCGAGACCGATGACTTCATTTTTTTCGTTGTCGTTTACGCTCGTGTGCTCCCGTGTGTTCGGATCGCCCTTTTCGGGCACCGCGTGGAACGCGGCCTGCATAAGAAGTCCATCTTGTGGCCGGGCGCTTTGCGATCTGTTTTTGAAACGCCTTTTCCTTTTCGTGTCTTCATAAGTAGCCACACAGAACAAGCCTTTGTTCGCCGCTTGATCAAAGGAGATGACTTGCGGCGTGATCTTCGATGCTCTCTTGCTGAAACAAACTAGTACAAAAGGCTGAATGAAGATGATTATGGTTTCACGTGCCAGGCAATGATAGCCCGACTGTGGCCCCTGGGGACCTCAATGTAATGACAAGGGGCTCGCACGAAATTAGCCTCTTTTCAATCCAAGCCTCCTATCCTTCTGGGATGTCTGCCACAGGTAATTACAGAATTGTTTCTGGACTTTTTCTTATTAATTACCTCCTATGACATGCTGCGCCCCGAACAGTGCGATTGAAGGCGGATATCCCCTGGCCAAGCCCTCTTTGGCCGTTCCTCCTGTCCGCTGTGCTAAATCATTAGGCCTAACAACCTCGTTTGTTTACATGCACGACCAGTGAGGTAGCTGCTAAATTAATGCCCACTGTCTGTCCTTTCTTTTCTTTTCAGGTGGTGGAGAAGCTCTCTAGATCCAGGGCTGGGCGGGGAGGGCCCATCCTACAGCCTGAAGTGGGACGTCATGCCACTTAAAGCCCACAGCAGCCTACTGGTCCTGGGACAGGGATAGGGGCAGGGTCAAGCCGGCAGCCATCAGCCCATCGAAGGACGCCCATTGTTCACGCTATGAGGGCGTCTGTGGCTCGTTTGTCCGGGAAATCAAACTGGCTGTAACCAGTGCAGCGTGTTCACTTGTATTAGCCTGGGTATGTGGGTGGGGCCTGTGCTGACATAAGAGACTAGAAATTTTCAGCCAGTTGGAAAACGTACCATGCCAGCCAGTGCCGGAAAATTTGGAACGTCCATTTTTTTTTTGATGCTTTCTGAAAGCTGTGACTTCCTGTGAGATCCCGGCTCTCCTCTAACGTTCCTCCTCCCCTCTTGGTGGCGCTGCTGTGTCTCTTGCTGCCTGGTGGTTTGGAGCACAGGCTTAGCCCCGGAGGTCAGCGGGAGCTGGCTTCACCGTATCTGAGCGGCACGGCGGCGAGGGATGGCGCGCACCCTGCTGAGGCTCCGCCGCTATGTCCGCCGCAGACCTCTGCGCTTTCTCTCCTTCGTCCTCCTCTACCTCACGGCCGGCGGCAGCCTGGTCTTCCTGCGTGCCGGCGAGACAGCCTCGGGTGCTCAGGGGTCCGGGCCAGAGATGGGCCGGGGGGGCCCGGAGGGCCGGGGCCTTGGGTTGATCAGTAGGGTCTTCAGAGAGGGCCGTCGACCTCCGCGAAGGTACAACCCACCCTGGCTGAAACAGGACTCCCAGGATCTGTCCGCGAGGGGAGGGCGAGATGGAGACCACACTGGGGGGTGGAGCCGTGCCCTAAAGGGGCGGAGCATGAAAGACTCAGAGGAGGGGCGAGGTGAGTGGCTCTCCACATTCTGGATTATTCTATTTCCCAGCATTAAATCCTTTAAATTCTTCTTTAAATACAGTCAAACCTTGGATTGCGAGTAAGTTGGTCTGCGAGTGTTTTGCAAGACGAGCAAAATTTTTAAATAAATTTTAACTTGATAAACAAGCGAGGTCTTGCAATACGAGTATTATGTATACACTTTGTCTGCCTAGCGTCACGTGATTACAGAGCCGATGGTTCTTCTCTCTCTCTCTCTATCTCGCTGCGGGATTGTGGGTAATCGTCTCCCATGCTCGGTCTCAGTTGGCGTGCCTCACTCGTATAGTCAAAATTTAGTAGAAAAGCACCACCCAAATAAGGGCGTAGCAGTACGAGCGATGAATCTGTTTAACGACAATGCAATGTCCACATTTCCGCGAAATCGAAAAGGAGGCAAAAGCGGCTGTCATTGGATAGGTTCCTTGCCAAAGTCGCACAAAAAGAAAAAGATTCCAGTCAGATTCCGTTAGTTATAGTCCTACAAAATAACTCTCCTCTTCTCCTCTCTCTCGTCTCCCTCACACCATCCACAATTCTTTTCAAAGGTGAAGTGCAGGTTAATTTGTTTTATGTATTTTTACTTTATATTTCATATTAATCATTTTTTATAAATATTTTTCGGTTGTGGAACGAATCATCGAGTTTCCATTATTTCTAATGGGAAAATTTGCTTTGATATACAAGTGCTTTGGATTACGAGCACGTTTCCGGAACGAATTATGCTCACAATCCGAGGTTTTACTGTATAATGTTTGGGTTGGGTGTTTTGACTATTCCCACCCACCATCTCCATTTTAGCCTTGTATTTTTATCATATTATCCATCCATCACCATCTTTGTGTCACTGAAAACTGGCTGTCCCCAACGTCAGATATTTCTGATATTTCTGCTACCACACTCATCCCTGAAATCACCTTTTTCAGTGGCTCTGTACCTCTGTTTGCTGCCTTCCCGCTCTGTTTCTTCCCCCCCAACCCCCCCCCCCCCACTCTTCAACCAAGTAAACTCTCATGTAGCAGCACGACAGCACATTGCGCCGTNTGCTGCCTTCCCGCTCTGTTTCTTCCCCCCCAACCCCCACTCTCCCATGCTAATGCGAGGTCACATCTCATGTAGCAGCACGACAGCACATTGCGCCGTGGACCATGTGGGACTAGTGACTGGTTTCCAGGAAGGTTTATCTGAAATAAATGAGAGACACAGGCAACCGCTGAGAAACGGAAGGTGAGCGTGTCCCGGGCATGGTTACAGCCCCCGGAGGGACTCTGCTGCTTTACCCATGAGCGAAGTGTTTAACCTGAATCACTGCTGTGTAATACATACTCGTGTAAATGGGTGAAAAAAGAAGCAGCTTTGGATAAAAATGTGGGCTAAGCGAACGGACTTCTTGGGGAACCTGCTGTGGGTTGTGTGAATTTGGCTGCATGCCATGCGGCCGCTGAGCGAGAATGCGCCCCTAGAACTGTATTAAGATTGGGGGGGGGGGGGGGTCTGCGTTTCATTTGTGGCACATAAACGGCAAGTTCAGATACTGTACAGTCTGGTCACCAAACGTTTCATTATTATGCAACTAGCATTTAAATGATTTGCTGTATTTCTTGCTGCCCTTTTAATTTTTTAGCATTTTTTTCAACAAAGGATAAGGTTACTCGCATAGATTCCCTTACTTTGTTTTGTTGCAATACAGTTATTCATGTCTATGCCATGAGCTCCCAAGATCGAGCCACGGAAAAAGCTGACCGCCATAGCCCCTTTTTTGTTGCAAAATCGGGGAGCATATGGAAAATCGATGTGGGAACACAGCACCTCAGCAGTAGCCTCAGAGACAAAAGCCTTGAGTAGAGAAGATGCGATGTTCCTGATCACAGTGCATGATAAATGCATATTTATGATGCGTTGTGGTGCGTTGCGGTAATTGAAGTGAAGTCTGACGGATGCGAGTTATCAGATTCCATTGCTCCCAGGCTTTTGGGTGTGTGTATATGTGTGCCTTTGCATGCTTATGTGATTGCCTGTCTGTCTCGGTGTTGATTTCCCATGCATATTAATGCATAATGCAAAATTCTGCACTTGACAAAATTTGGTTCTGAAACTAGCAACCCAGACAGCTTCTAACTCCAGAAAAAAAAGCCCTAACAGGCGTAAGAGAACAAATGCTAGCAGAGCTTAGCCTGTCACAACGGCTATGAGCAAACCCATAGCGACAAGTATTAACTAACAAACTGCTTTGATACTGGGCTACCACATCTGTGTTACTCCTTCCCTGATTAGCTCCAGGTTTTGCATATGAAAGCTTTTTTACTTAATATCAGAGGCTACGCACAGCTGTCTTGTCCCATGTGTTTCAAAACGTATTAATCTAAATCACTCGGAAATAAACCGTAACATTGATGTAAACTACCTCTCGGATTCTGCAGCTACTAGTCTCTGAGAAACTACTTTCTCACTTAGCTCCAGCTAGCTAAAATGTTTGGGTTTTAGTTTTATTTTTGTAGTGTAGAATGAGGCAAAAAAAAGAATTCTTAAACAGTCGCCAGAGATCCAGCAACTAATTTTACTCAAGTTCTGTTTATGGTCTCCGGGTCTGCGGAGAGGTTTAAATCTTGTGCCCGGAGATCGCACACTATCCACCGGAAAAGGTGGGGGGATAAAGAGGCTCGTTTAAAGATCGTATCACTCACAACTCATTAGGCTAATCCAGTGCAGCGTTCATGGGGTTTTGAGCAGATGGCCTGACGGCCGGTGGAAAACGGCGCTGGGTACTCGCTTTATTCCCAGCCATATGCGACACATCCACTGTAATTAACTCCTGGAAAAATCGCCTCGTCCACTGAGTGACGGAGGGCTTGCGGCCTCTCTGCTGGCTAGATATTGGAGGTTGTCAGGGGTTCCTGCTGGACCTTCTCAGCTACCATCTCACCCATGCTTTTCAGGGAATACTGTCCTGATGAAAAATAGTGATAATTACTGAGAGGCTGGAGCACATTTCGCTTCATTTTCATGACAAACTGATATATCCATACATCCAACCCGCTATCCTGGTTAGAGTCACAGGGGGGCTGGAACCTCTCCCAGAAACCCCAGGGCACATGCTCACACACTGTGAGTAATTCAGAGATGCCAGTTCATCTGTGGCTTTGTTTGGATTGTAAGTGGAAGGGTGGGGTACTTCCTGAATGTGACGTCAGTCTATGAGAGGGCACTGATTCACACACCATGGGCAATTTACAGACATCGGTTCACTTAACTACCTGTCTTAGCACTGGGGAAGGAAAGCATGTGCCCAGAGGAAAACTATGTCTGCATTGTGAGTGTCACGATCGGGAACAGGCGATCTGGGAAGCAAGGGAAAGGAGCCAGGAAGTCGGGTGAACGGGTTTTATTCGGGGTAGAGTCCACAACACGGGGTAGAATGACGGCAAACATTAATGACAAGTCTGGGAAAGACTGACTCAGGCGAGGACTAAATACACAAGACTAGCTGGTATTAACAAGAGACAGGTGAGAGCGATCAGGTAGAAACACGGGGTAATGAGGGGGGCGTGGCACACACGAGGATCGGACGGAGCTGGACGTGACAGTGAGGATCATGCAAAGGACACAGACATGGTTCCAGCACCGCAGCACTGTGCATGTAATGCTGCAGTGATGACTGCTAGCTGACCATGCAGTTGCAGAGAAAGAGGCGTCACTCAAATCACTTCTTTTATGGCATTAAATTATGAAGCTTCAGCTATTTAATAATGTACTGACTGACCTCTTTCCCCTTCCCCATCACCGAATGTCACAATAGAATTTTTTTTGTCTCCATAATTCGACTAGAATGTGTTTTAAAGAGGAAGAGGAGGGTAAGTGTGTCACAGCTATTTGAGAATGAACTATTCTGGAGCTGCAGTTGGCTTGTCAGGGAGCCGTATCGGTTCGGCATCGGACCCGGGAGGGGGGAAGCGACAGGGATAAATAGCCAGCACTAAATACTGTCCCTCATTTTGTCACCAGGGCTAATCCTGGCAGTCTTCCAGACTCAGACCCCCTTTGGTATGTAGAAGGTGCACGCAGAGCTAGTGAAAAGATCTTCCGGACTCCTGATACCAGCCATCGGGCCTCTATTGCGCCTTCCTTCTTCTCAGAGGATGGCGGATTGACCAGCTGCAGCTGAACGGACATAGGAACCTGCCCATAGGAACCGTATCAGTTTTATTGCCCACAGACAAGCACATCATGTTCGTTTTGCATATTGGTTTATTCCGCAAAATACCCCAGCATTTCCCCACTTTGAACCCATTTGGTTCATCCCTGTGGAATGAACCACGTTTGGCGCGAGTGGGGGACATCTGTAGGTGGTTGGCCGCTTGCTGGCTTACAGCGTCTGCCCCCTCAGCATGTTCCAATCAGAGGATGCGATTTCCTTAGTCTAGCCCTCAAGCTCGATGGCATTTTTTCCCTATGTGTGGCTTCTTGTGGCTGTCAGGGCATTAATTCCTTCATTTGCATTTTCCTTCTCCTTCCCTGAGAGGAGATGTCAAATGCTGATGCTCAATGAACTTATCATGGCAGAGTCTCTCTCTCTCTCTCTCTCTCCATCTTCCCCCTGTCTACACACTCGTTTCTCTCTTTTGGTGGTTTCCGTCTGTGGGGGCTTTCAGAGTCAAGACCGTCCCCTTATGGCCCAAATACTTCCAGCATGCCACATGGCTGCTTTCCACCAGTGGCAAGTCGATCCTGAGCTTGGATCACAAGATGATCCCGAGGTGTGTCAAAGACCTTCACCTCTCCACCCTTCACTATGAGCAAATTATATAAGATGAACAAAAAAGTAAAGGTGACGGTCTGAAGGTCATCTCAATATTGATAGCTGCAGTAATTGGTTTTCAGGGATGTGAGTGGAACCCCCTGGGCAATCAGTTCTGCTCTGGAATCCCAGTCCCCCCCCGAAGTGTGCAGTACTGCCCTCTGCAAGGCCGACATGCCGGGATCTTCAGAGATTCATGTACTTTAGTGGTTTACCTAAAAGTCAGTCAGAGTGCCTCATGGCTGCACCAGGCCGTGATGTAATCCTTCACGCCTTCCAGTGTCACATGACTGACTGGCAGGTCATGCCTGGCTGGCAGCCGACCTTGTCAAGTTCACGGATGGATGATCGTGGCCGTTAAACCTTCCTAGCATCTTACTGTCTCTTGGCGTATCTTCAGTCTTCATGATTGTATCACTGCTTCACTCTTCATCATGTTTTTTTTCATTTCTGGAGATGATAGCAGATCCATGTCAGTCTGCATCTCCGGAAAAAAAGAAAGCAGTTGGGACAGATTGCTGCTTGAATGTCCCGCTCTTTTCTCCCATGGGATATTTCTAGGATCACCATGTGTGAAAGCAGATTCCTAAACTAGATATGCATGTAAGATTGCTTATCGGATCCCACCGCAAGCGATTCTCAGTGAGTCCGGCCTTTCTCTGGCAAGACCGCTGAGTGGAAAAACATTTTGAAAGCTGCCCTCCCTGGCCGCAGGATGAGCGGGTGGTGTGATCGCCAACGAGTGCAGCCTATTACCTGAAGGTCCTTGCTTTTGGGACCCTGAGGGAACCTGCGTTTCAGATCCCAGTGAGACTCTTTCCCTGAACTGCAGTGAAGCATCCAGGTTTATAGATAAAAATAGAATAAAATAAATAAAATAAAATTACACATAATGTAAACTCGGGCAATTTTATAGTAATTTAATCTTGTTTTTGAGTGCTTCAGTGATCTGTTTTTCAGCTGCAGTAGAACAGAAAGATATTTAATTACAGAAGTTCCTTTCAATATAAATTAGCAAAAGGGTAAAAATTATATATTCTGAGAAAAAAAGGACCAGCACTCAAATCTCAGAACATGCACAACAGGCACATAAAAGAGGCACATTAAATAAGAACAGAAAGGGGGAAATGAGTAAATAAACTGGTTTTTAGTTTTCAGAAACATTATTTCATCCTCTACATGCGGTCTGCTTTACTTTTTGAATTATTTAATCCGCACAAGATGTTTCATCGACCAGTTATTAAGCCTACAAAGAGCAGACACCTGAAAACAGGCCACTCTAAATCGCCGTTCACGCTATCTGTCATCATTCAGTCGCACTGGGAGCACTGTGGTGAATTACAATCAGGCGGGTAGGAACTGGGGGGGGGGGGGGGTATTTAAGATGCAGGGTGATGTATTAATTAAATTTTAATATTCACTTCTGGCCTCGAAAGTGCCTGCATCAGTGACTGCGGTGATAGTAATGTTTTATTCAAACGTTTTTCAATATAATTTATTTAAAAAACGCTCCAGTGACAAAGTTACTCTATTTGAAAAATCTGCGACGTTGTCCGTGGGATCGATTTCATGCTCAAAAGGTGGCAATAATACCTGATAACAGAGCATCCGCCGAGGTTACGGCCCCGGATTACGGCCCAGGGTTAGAGCTGTGACTGAGGACACTGGCATCCCACATCACTGGCAGGTCCCAGACAAAAGACTCCGCAGAGCCGTCAATCATGTGGACTGACAGACCCGAGCTTCACTCACTCTGGAGGTATATTCATGTCTCCATTGAGCCATTGCCGTGATAACCTCCTGGCATTATGGCCTTTGGGGACAGCTACCAGGGGGGTATATGTGCTGTTAAGCGTCGTGCTAGTCCGTACGTGAAGTTGGCACGGTTGGGCACTGCCGACCTAATTCCTCGTCTCTCTCCTGCGTCCACAGCAACGTACCTTGGCTGCTATGCCGACAACACCCACAAGAGGGCCCTGCGTGGGGCATCCTTCTTTGACTACAAGAAAATGACGGTCTTCCGTTGCCAGGACAACTGCGCCGAGAGGTACCGTAACGTTCTCCTGGAATGCGAAGGCGCCTCCCACGAACTGCAGTTTTCTTTGAAGCGTTTTTTGCGTGTCCTCTGATAGCTCCGCCATCGGTAGGTGGCGGCATCGTCGGCAGCCCAATGGTAACACCTGAAAGATGATCCTGTCCGCTCTGGGTTTGCCAAATCACACATGCCGAAAAGCGGCTGGTTAGGCATGTAGGAAGTCAACGAAAATTCCGGTCATGTACTGTAGGGGCGTTCAATAAATGCTTGTTTTTATGGAAGAAAATTCTGGAAAACTGCAGAAATGGTGGTATTGATAAAAGTCCTAGGGTCTGCCTTGACAGGTCAGGTTTTCTTTGAGGGTGGACATTTAATTGGGCTGGGACAGTTTCCCCCCTCCCTGGTCCAAAATAAACGGCTGGTGGAGGTACTTAGGAGGTGGAAAGCAGCGAGGCAGGAATGATTGATTCAGGCACCCTGTAAACATCGATTTACAGTCAAAGCTTCGGTTATGAAAACATTAAGGGCCGTGGGCCGCGGCAGATAGCTCGTCCATAATGAGCGGCGGCCCTGCAGGGGGCGCTAGGGCGCAGCATAGAGAGGAGTAATGGGTTAGTGTTAGAATGGACCATTACAGGCCACAGGGAGGCGTCTTTGGGCCTGAAGTGTCTGCTCCTCTTGGTTTGGTTCCACTTCCCTCTGTGCCCCCTCCTCACCCCCCCCCGCCCTCCCCATTCTCGCGCAGGGGCTACCTGTATGCGGGACTGGAGTTCGGTGCTGAGTGTTACTGCGGCCACAAGATCCAGGCGGCCAATGCTTCGGAGGGCGACTGCAACATGGAATGCAAAGGCGAGAGGGGAAGGAACTGTGGCGGAGCCAACCGGCTCACCATCTACCGGCTGGAGCTGAGCCAGGACTCGGCCCGCCGCTGTGAGTCCACACGTGTGCACTCACACACACACACACACACACACACACACGGACACACACACACGGACACAGACACACCCAGACACACACACCCACACACACATACACAGACACACACACACACACACACACACACACAGACACCCACACACACACAGACACACACAGGCACACACAGACACACACAGACACCCACACACACACAGACACAGACACACACACACACACAGACACAGACACACACAGGCACACACAGACACACACAGACACCCACACACACACAGACACAGACACACACAGACACACATGACTGTCGTGCCATTAGGTAAATGCATCTTGTACAAATTTGATTTTTTTAAAGTACAATGGCTCCTTGTCTGAAGAGAGCAGACCATGCTGACCAGGATTATTAAGCAAATGGCCACTTTAGCTTGATATTTACAGTATATTGTATGCAGTTTTTCACTCTTAATGCAGTTACACTTATTATAAGAAGTGGAACATGAAATACCCATGACAGTAATAAAATGAATCAGGGTATGTGTATTTATATGTTTTTTTGGTATTAGGTTACTTACAAATGCCAGGTTAGCTCAGCTAACTGGCATGATTTGTTGACATTCTGGGCGTTTGGCCCTCGATCTGGGAGGAATGTGTGCTGCACTTCCAGCCTCTTATGTCCCTAACAGGACCTTTGCTGCAGTGGGTACTTGTCCTACTGCGCACAACACAGGTCCACATAACCGGGAGCGGAAGCTAAACTGCATAACGATGACTGAGCTGTAATAAAATGTAGTTTGTGGGGGGTAAATTAATTTGTGATTGATTGTTATTGTTTCGGTTTGATTAGATTCTCGTCCTTTGAAGTGTTAAATGGCTCATTACCCACGTAACCCTAATGAAGATGAAGGAGAGAACTTCATCAACCTCTTTCAGATGTAATAAAAATTGTAATTTTAATGCTGCCTTACCCGGACCCCCCCTCTTTTTATGACATATGGCACATTCCGCCACTTCAAGTGTAGGGTATCTAGTTAGCTAACCGCAGCAGCCTCACACCCACCACGAGGGATACGGCTCCTGAGACTCCAGAGCCGGAGGTAGAGCGTTGCCATGACCAGCAGACGTCCCTGCACCTCTGTCAGCAGAACAGATCTCACTCGCCTCTCACACATTACCGAGGATGCAAGTCAGCGCAGTTTTTTTGAGCAGCTTATCATCCGCCACAAAGGGATCGGTGTCAGACTCGCCCCAGGCAAGACGGCGGGCAGAATCATGTGACGCGGGGATAGGAAGAAGCTGGAGAGTCTCTATTTGGGGACGGTAGTGAAGATGTGTTATAAAAAAAGAGGGGAAGAAGCAAAACGGGAATGACAGCAGAAAGAGAGAATAGACGAGCTTGTCACATGACTTCGCCCCGCTCTACAACATCCATGCCCCTCCCTGTCATATACAATGTTAGGGTTGCCATTACCGTCGTTACATCACTTAACCGTTGGACTGTAGCACTGGCTTAAGCGGGATATCGTGCTACTCGTCGTTAGGCCAAATGACTGCACCAAACACGCCCTGCGGTGACAGTTACCCAGGAGACCTTGCAGCCTCTCCCCTGCTTTGACACTGGGGACTGATAAAGTGGATGGTCACCATGGTAATGTCGTTAAAGGCACCCTATTCACTGGGTCCCCTGGGATTCCCCTGCCTGTCCTCGGCTCGTTGATGGGGCATGTGTTGGGTAAACGGCAGCGTCGGGCGACCGCGGCCAGGGCCCACTTACAGTGCAGGTCCCCGTACCCGAACCACGAGGAGGAGCCACCGGCCACCGTGGGTGAAGGCGTCTCCTGTCCGTATCAGCATTAATGCAGCCTGGCAGCTCACAACATTTGCGGGACTTTGCGTCCAGATCGAAATTGAATAAATTCCCTTTACTGTTGAATTTTTAAATGGAGGCTGTCCACATGTTTAATTGGAATAAGATGGCATGTGGACATTCCGATTCGTATGCGCCGATGGCTCTACGGTGATCAGCACGTAGTCATATACTCATCCTCAGGTCTTTTGTAAGAACGTCAAGCCTCATTGCAGAAGCCTGTTGTCCAGGAATGCGTGATGATGTTCTGCTGGTAAGGTTTGACTTGCCCCAGGTAACGTCCAGCTTCACGAACGAGGTGCGAGTCGGACTCCTGGCCGAGAGGGTCTGTCTCGGCAAAGACGCCCAGCTAAGGCTGACGAGCACTGCCACAGCTGTCTACCTGTTATCTAGTCTGCTTCTAACGCAAGACCAAAAATAAGAGGCACGGCTGATTCCAGCAGCTCCCGACATCCCATATGACCCGCTTCTTATACTCAAAGCCAATTTTTTCTTTTTGCAGAGAAACAAAAATATGCGAGTCCCTCTCACAGCTTGTGGTCTAGCTATCGTCCACCTGCGGGATCTGGAAGAGTGACCAGACTTTTAAAGAAGTGGTTCTGATGGAGATCTCTGAAACCAAAGTGGCCGTAGATGTTTACAGTGGCAAGTTCTAAACGGTTGATTTCTTGGCATTATAACAAAACAGTCTATCTTTCCACAAATTGTCAGATTATTAGCCTTTGATAGCTATGAGTTTGGCAGCTCCTGCTGGAAATACAACATTTCTGCTGTAATGAAATGAGGTGGAAACTTTCAAATTTAAACCGAATAGGGGAAAGTGGCCTTGACGACTGAAGCGGGGCGATATTTTCAAACAAAGCTAAGCAAAAAAAAAGGATGACAGCAGAAAAAGCACAAGGAAGTAAAATTTCACAAGAATGCTGGCTGCTCTACATGGTGGGATATGAATCAGCTGACCAGGCATGGAAACAGTTTGACCTTCCTAAATTTACTAGTGTTTGCTGAGCCAGAGGTTACATTCAAGGTTATCTGGGGCCACTTAATTCAGTATCAAACACAAACCTTGAACCGTTTTATCGTACTTGTGTGTGTGTTTGTAGACGGGAGCGCCGTCTTCAAAGGGTGCTTCAAGAAACCTGAAAACGTGACTCTGGCCCTCCCCATCGCAGCGGTATTCCTCAACATGTCTGTCGACAAGTGCGTGGACCTCTGCACAGAGAAGGTGAGATTTCTGGATCTCCTCACTGCTACCCACCCCGGTCGGTTGTGTTTACAACAAGGGGTCGGTCCCAGCCGGAGATATGTGCTTTAAAGTCTGGAAAGGTAATGGGAAGTGAGTAAACTCTCTGACACTGTCAGTAAAGCGTGAAAAGAAAAATACATGTAGGAATTTGGCATGGAGCCTCAAATCACAATGGAAAATTAAACTGTTGCAGATCAGTTCAAAGCTCAGGACATCAGAAAGGCTTAATTCTGCTAACTGTTGCCCAGCTATCTGTCCCCCTGCTATCTGTCCCTCTGCTATCTGTCCCTCTGCTGTCTGTCCCCCTTCTGTCTCTCCCTCTGCTATCTGTCCCCCTGCAGCCTGTCCCCTTCTGTCTGTCCCCAAGCCATCCTTCATTCTCTTTCTTCCCTGAAACTCCCACGCTGGATCTCTCTGTCCTAACCGCACTCCCCATGGCCTTGATCCTGCGCTTCTTTATATTCCTCTTCCATTTTGGACAAAGTGTCTCTGATAGGCAGCATCCTCTGGAGTGCTTGGGGTGAGAAAGCAGAGTTATACGCGGTGCTGCTTCTCCGTGCCCAGAGAATTAACTCTGACTGCCTCGGCAGTCTGAGAGCTTGATGAGAATAGTAACCTTTTAAAACAGATGCCCAATGGAATCAGCCTGCTTAGCTGGCGGTAAATTTATGGTGTTATTATTCATGGGCAAACATTATGAGGAGTTTTTCTAAAGGAATGGAGAAAAGGGTTTAGGGATACATGGATGTGTCTCTGTTAGTTTGTTCCCCGAGGAGGGAAATGCATTTTGACTTGATGTCTATTTAGCAGATGTGCCTGTCCAAGGTGACATATGAGTGAGGGTCAGAGAGCAGGATCAGATCAGCCAGTGTCACCGGAGCAGTTTGGGTTAAGCGCCTCACTCAAGGGCTCAAAAGTAATCTGACTGGCTGCGGAATCTGAACGCACAAACTTCCAGACACCTGCACAGACCCCTAATGCACTGAACTCAAAGTGCTTAAGGTGTGTTTAGATTTAGTTGAGTTCTGAAAGTAAGTTACAAAGGCCAGTTCTGAAGGTCGGTTTTAAAGGATGGGGCTGAAGATTCATTTTGTCGGGGTTAAAAACTTTAGGTTGGTTTCTAAGGGCTGGTTATACGGAAGATTTTGTGTGGAGGTTCCGAAGTTCCTGCCATGAACCGGGCCCGGCTCTCTGGCCCTCAGGAGTTCCCGCTGGCCGTCCTGGGGGGGGCCGTCTGCAGATGCGGCTTCCCCACGGCACAGTTCTCGCTGCACGAGCGGGAGGATGAGGAGATGTGCCAGCGGTATTGCCCTGGCGACGAGGCGGAGAATTGCGGCACGGATGACTACTTCCTGGTGTACCAGACGCAGGTGCAAGGTGCGTATGCTCCTCGTACGCACCGTCACGGTGTCACAAGGGCCACAGAGATGGCACCTCCCTCACTAGCAGCTGCCCAGGGCAGGCTGAGTGCCCACTGTGTGAACAGTGTGTCCTCACACAGCCCCTTCTATGTGTAGCACCATCAGCAGTCTTAGCAACCCTCCCGACAGCTGTGGAAACCGGGAACACAAGGGCTTTTACTCTGACTTCCCAGAATGCATTGCAGCACTGACTCACGAGCACATCTCACAGGAGTGAGATATCGCAGATATTACTGGATGACAAATGCTTCTGTGTGTCTCCCACTGTTTATTACAAGGAATTTCCCCGCACAGGTTTTTATCGAGAGGTGTCGTCCATGTTTATTACGCCACGATACGCAGATTGTGTCGCCGCTGTGTTTTAAGCTCTCTGCAGATCCTCTGTAGGCTGCTGTTTCAGCTCTGCAAGGGTTCCAGACCCTAAGAGTTTAAAGGAGCTGAAATCCTCAAAGTGCCTGTTATTACACAGATTTCACCAGGTCACACTGTCCAGTAGTGACACCCAGGGCATTAATATATCCAGAGTAATGACACGGTAGAAGGAACTCACCTGAATCCCACATAAATAAACATAATGTTCCTATGAAATTTATGGAGGAAAAAAACTAAACACAAGATCTGCTCCAAACCATGAATATAAGTATATATGGTGTTATCCAATGTTTAAATATTTCATATGTTTTATATTACATTAAATTTGTATACTATTCTAAATTATATGCAATATAAAATCTTGTGTTTAGACGTATATCTTTCTGCAAGCAATGTGACATTTTGCTTTATACAGGTCTGTTGTTTCCAGTATTGTATGAGACTGTGTCATTAGAATGATCGGTCATCCTGAATATTATGATCCCAGACTCTGTTCCCAACCTGACCGCCCACCTCGTCTCTGTCCTCCGCCCAGACAAACGCTGCATGGATCGCCACTTCCTGTTGTCACGAACGAAGCGCCTGACAGCACTGGCCAGCTTTCCTGGGGCGGGAAACACGTGGGCGCGGCATCTGATCGAGCTGGCCACGGGCATCTATACGGGCAGCTACTACTTTGACGGCTCGCTCTACAACAAAGGTCTGCGGAATAGGGTTCAAGGGGCCAGCCGGGGCTGATCGGGGCGCCAACCACGCCCGTGTAGGGCATGGGGGCAATGCTTTCTGAGCTGATAAGCCATTAATTTTCAGTACTTTAAAATAATTAAATTCTTCGTATATTAGAATGTGGTAACAATTTTTAATAATGCCATGTCTTCCATGAACACATAACACATTACAATGCATTCATAAAGCATTATAAGCATGGCTATTAATATTTATCAAAAGACATAAATTATGACCATGTTTATGTTTATTATGCCTTATGAATGCTTTATGAACGTCTCATCTATAATTCACTATAGATACCTTCTTAATGCAGCACAAAGCATCCTTAATGCTTATACAAACCATTTTAATGCTATATCATGGTATCTATAGTGTATTATAGATGAGAGCTTCACTGGAGCTTATGAAGTATTATAATCAACACTATTATGCTTTATGACTGTCAATAGAAGATGCCGTAATGCTTTATTATTTCTTGAACCGGCCACTATAATGCATTATGAATGTATTTATAGTGCATTATAGATGAGAGCAATGTTACCACATATTATTATAGGTTGGTAATGCATTGTTTTTTCTTAGTATTACTGTGTCTTTTAATCAAAAGATACAAAAAAGATACAAAGTTCTTGTAGCTCAATTGTAATGTAGGAGAGTAGAGCCTGGTAAACAGTCACAAAGCGACAGATTCTGGCAGATTCTGCTTTGGCAGAGGCTCATGGGAGAACTGCTGTTCTTCATACCTTCCTAGGCTTCAAAGGAGAGCGAGATCACTGGAGGAGTGCCAGGACCATCTGCATCAAGACACACGAGAGTGGCAGGAAGGAGATCGAGGCCTTTGATGCCGCCGTCCTCATCATCCGTAACCCCTACAAGGCCTTGATGGCGGAGTTCAACCGCAAGTACGGCGGCCATGTTGGATTCGCCTCACAGACCCACTGGAAAGGGAAAGGTAAGGGCTCATCACTAATCAGCACTTGGGCAAGTCACTAAAGCACTACCTTCTTAGGGTTAATCTCATTGGATTTCTTGGTCAGTTTTCCATATAAATCAGCAGTCGCTCCCTGCAATGAATGCTGAAGCAGATAAGCTCATTCTTCCACAAACCTCCCATGAGAGGAACTGATCGTGTAATTTTGCACTGTAACAGTGCACTAAAACAGGCCCCACCCTTTGTGCCTTTTCAAACTCTGTGTCACACATAGTTGTGTAATCTGTGAATGGGGTACAGGATGTTCGTGCAATATCCGGCACATTGGGCAATAAAAAAACTAATTGAAACAGTTTTTAAGTTCAAGTCTGATTTACTTTTGAAGGTCCCTGACTGTACAGCCTTGCAGCCGCGTCTCTTACAGCCCTTGGCTCACAATTGAGCACCATTTTACCCCCCCCTGCCATTTAATTTACCCCCATTCTGGCTGGCATGCCTCCTTTCCTCCTGTCATCTTACGGGTCTTGTGACTTTCCTGGCTGTTGTGGTAACTATGGCAACCAACCTCAGATTTCCCCCCCCCCCCAACCCCCACTGCCTCCGCTTTTCGTGGAATTGACTTCAGCTCTGCAAGACGTCCGGAGCATCGGAGCGTCGCCGGATTCTCGCACGTACTCGCAGTTGGCGTGGGGGGGAAGGTAGGGGGGTGACGGCAATGTTTCCGGGAATCGCCTCTCATCTCGCCCCCGCCTGGCCTCGTCTGGCCCCCCCGGCATGTCGGAACGCGGTCGTCGCTTTGGCCACGACCGGGGGGGCTCCCCTCTGCCTGGGAGCAAAAGCCGGAAAAAAAGCCCCTGGCAGGTGGACACCCCCCCAGCCCCCGCCGTGCATGCCGCTGTCAATCTGCGCTCCTCCTAACCCGGAAAACGCAATGGAAGGTTAAGCGGCTGATCATTTCGGGAGAACAGTGGCTAGCAGAGGAGGTCAGCTACAGATAGCCCCCCAACTTTGCTTTGCCCCCCCTCAAGTCCTGCAGTAAATACTGTATATAACCAGCCAGAATCCCAGAGTCTCTTAAAAAGAATGAAACTGGCTTTGTTCCACACGGTTAATTTAATCTCTCTGGGGGTGGCTCAGCACAGAAGCTTTATGAGCTGTGATTACCTGAAGCGAAATGCATCAGATCTGTTTAACTAAGTGCCCTCAGACCCCAGGTGGGGGGGTCGGGTATGCGTGTGACAGGACCCCCCATGTTTCTGCTTGGGTGTCTCGACCACAGTCTTATGCAGTCAGAGTCCCCCTTCGATTCTTGTGCCCCTGCTGGTTTATCTTTTTTGTTGTGATATTACTCTCTTACCCCAATAGGCCCAGCAATCACTTGTGGAAAGGCTTTGGATTCAGGCATGACCTGAGGATGACAGAGAGGGAAAAAAATTTAAATGGAGGCTGGCATAGTCAAAGTACCGCCTAGATTATGGGGGCTGAGGAGAGAGGGAGAGAGACAGAGAGAGAGAGAGAGAGAGAGTGTATGGTGTCTACAAAGGTATCTTGTAACCCAGATACAATCGGTACTTCCTCTTCCTGTTTGTTAGCTCTGGAAATGTGGGCAAAAGCGGCACTTTAATTATGGAAATACGTCCAGTTCTTGGAAAAACTGGGACAGGATGTGTATTCGCAGCCGAGGCTGACAGGTGAAATCCCAGAGCTCACACATTGCTACTGTTATCTTTTAAGGCGCTGGACTCGCTGCATGTGACTGGCAGACACATCCTGTGTAATCCCGGATTACAGTATCGGCTAAAGCGCCATAACTCTCCTCGTGTATTGTTATTTTGCCCCTATGCAGACTGGCCAGAGTTTGTGAGGAACTACGCCCCCTGGTGGGCATCCCACACCCTGGACTGGCTTCGCTACGGGAAGAACGTGCACGTAGTCCACTTCGAAGACCTGAAGAGGGAGCTTTTCGGCCAGCTGAAGAAAATGGTGGTCTTCCTGGGCCTGGGGGTGTCTGAGGACCGCCTGCTGTGTGTGGAGGGCCAAAAGGACGGCAACTTCAAGCGCTCCGGCCTTCGCAAGCTGGAGTACGACCCGTACAGCCCCGAGATGCGGGCCACCATCGACGACCTCATAAGGGTGGTGGACAAGGCCCTGAGGGAGAGGAGACTGCCAGGGGTTCCAGAGGAATACAGTCCAAGATAATGGTCATGCTTCCCAGCCATTTTCTCTCTGCACATCTCCATCCTTAATTAGTTTTGGTTGTAAAACAATGTAAAAAAAACTAACTAGTCTCAAAATGCAGAGGCCCTCAAAGGAAGTCTGTTGCTTGGAAGGACCTGTCCTGATGGGGGAGTGGGGGGGGGGGGGATTGTAAAACTATTACATGGATTTTGCGCATCAGTCATAGCTGACAATCACGGGTCTCCCTTCCACGCATGTGCGTCCGCTGGGTTTCGCCTTGACGACAGGAAAGCCAGTAGCTGGTGTATTTATAGTCAGATCCAATTAATTTCCATTCGTTTTTTTCCCCGGAATTTTAACAAAGAAGGTTGTGCTGCTATTCCTAAACCCTAAACGAAAAAGTCTCCTTTTATAGACTTCAAATATACAAATATCAAATAATAGTGTTATTTTTGAGATGAAACACAAAAAAAAAACAGCAACCGGCATTTTTTATAGTCTGTGGGACCGTCGCATGTGATGTGTATAGAAGTGAGTTTTTTTGGGGGGGAAATGGGGTTTTGACAAAAATATAAATATATTTTTTAAAAATCCATCTCTGACGATATAAACACTTTTCTTTGTTTGAAAAGCTAAAGGACAAGTGTGGAATGTAGAAGTAAACAAGACAGGTCGACGATTTAGAAGAATGTATGACACATATGGCTAAATCCTGGCAGAGCAACATTGTTAGTCCAAAAAGCAGTATAAGAACGGTAACAGAAACTTTCCCGAAGCTTTCTTAACGCTACGTCATTCGTAAGTTCTGTCTTTTAACGTAGAACTTACGAACGACATAGAGTTAAGGCTTCGGGAACAAGTTCTCTCTGCTACATCCTCAGTCATTTGCTTATAGTAACTCACAGTAACTCAATAACCAAATAAATCACAGTGCAATCAGTCTAGGTGGCAACTGCAAATGTGGCAACCAAACCAAAACTAACACACACACAGCACTTTCATAATGGTGTAACAAAATTCCTGGCCATCTGTTGTACACCTGCTTGGTACTAATAGCTACTAATAATTTTACCTTTTAGCTAAGGTGAAATTTCCTTTGCACTTTGAGCATCTACCTAATCATCCAGCTGTTGGGGGGTTCTTAGCAATATTTTTCTGATTCTATGTTCGACAAACACGCCACTCTTCAGAAATTATACTTCAGTGGTAATTTAAAGTTAGTCTGTCTGTCTGACACAGAGCTATCGGTCTCCTAGATTATTTCTGCCAAGGCTGATTCTCGATGCTGGTTTGAATCAGACCGGACACCTGCCTTTGATGTCTCCATAACTGAACATTTCCCACGGGTATTCTGGGTAACGGACGACCTTCACTTCATCATAGGGGAAATTTCTCAACACACAACAAAGACTCCTTTCTCGTAGAGCATATAAGAATACTGAAACTACAATATTACTAACACACTGTATGACAATAAACAAATGTGGGTTCCTGCAGGCACCAAGCTTGATAGACGTAAATACATAAAAATATGTATATGTATATTGAGGAAACAAATTCTATTTTCCCTATTTTTTGCGGAAGCAAAGCCTAATAGCTTAATGCAGGTCATCAGTTGTTGATAATGAGTTCAAAACATTCAGTGAATTTTTAGTGTTTATGTGTTCCTTGGAAAGGTACATTTAAAATGACAAACCTAAAAATATTGATATGCATTTATATCTATTAGCAACTGAATGATTGATTATTCTTTAGAAATATTGACATTCTTTAGATGCACAAATTATTCTTATTGAGTCTCATTTCTGCCCTTACTAGCACCTTAGACGAAGCGATCTGTAAAATCACAGGGTCATCGCTGAATTCCTATGATTGGCTGGAAACATGAAAAAGGCCCAATAAGCGTGAGGATGGGACCTTATTGGATGCTTTGGTGGCCTGGTAATCTGCCCCTTACATCTCCCCAGAAATCCTTATATTATACTACGATTCTCCCAAGCAGCTTCATTTGTTACCCCATAAAATAATTCATATTAATTCATTCATCACCTTGGTTTTGTGTTTCCTACTTATTCAATGTTTCTCAAATTACTTACATTATTATTAAATAATTGACAATCTTTATTTTTCTAATTCAATTTTTCCTACTTTTATCCAAAACTTTAATGACGAACAGACATACAGATAACCCCACTACCTTTAATTAAATGAATTTTAACAGATACCATCTGTAAACAAACCAAATGATATTGAATCATTTTTCTGGAAAATATAAATAATTAAAAATGAAATTACTCTGGTGTGCAGGCCCAATATGAGATCCTGATATGATTGTCTGTCCAGATGCACAGTATGCCAGTATTAATCAAATGTTTCGAACAGCTTATTTTGATTTGCTTGGCATACATCTGATTGCTCATTAAAGATTTCCCTGCAATTAATTATTAAATTGTAAGGATAAGGCTGTTTCTTGTTCATATGCTTACCGTTTGCGGAACGTAGTTGAAAAACAGCTGAAATATATCAAGCCATAAATGAATCCTTATTTCCCCAATTGGCGATGTCAACGTGCTCCAGAAAGCCACAGCGCTGGGTGTCACCAGGAAAGTCTGCGGCGTGTCGTGCTGCTTCTGTCAGCGTGCCCATCCCGAGGCTCAGCAGCGCCGGCGACCAGGCGAGGCTGCCCTCATGCAGAAAATGCGACAAGGTGCAAAAGCCACACGCGCCGCAGTATGAGCTGCATAAATTGGACAGGCTGTGATGTGAGCATGTGGGGAAAACAGCAATGGTGTTTTTCTAGTAATGTTAATAATAATAATAGTTATGAGGTGGCATGGCACAGGCAGGAAAATATGACGATTATGAAATATGACTTACAGCAACAAGACAAAGATGCTTCATTAAAGAAAAACAGGACATAAAGGTGCCTTGGGGGAGGAGGGTCAAAAATAAGACTAACCTAAAGAAACCACAAGTAACACAACTAAAGAACTGGGAAAACTGGGGAGCAGGACTAGAAAACCAAGCAGAGTTTACAGTGAGCACGAGCACAAGCACGATTGACTGGGGAAATGAACAAAGGCAGACACTTAATTACTCAGGTAATGAGGACTAACAAAGGGCAGGTGTGAATCATCAGAAACATTACCCAACAATGCTATGGAACTAGGCAGAGGTGAAACAATTGCAATTAATGAAGAGCAAGAACCATGAAATGTAACAAACAGTAAGGGGTAACAGCTCTAGGGACGACTGGGAACATAAGGTTATGCAAACAGAAAACCAGGTACGACAGGGTAAATCAAAAGTAAGGACAAAGAGCAAAGGCAAAGATACACAATACCAAATACAGGAAAAAGCGATAATACTTAAATAACAGATGAGGCTGACCTCGGGTCAGTAACACCTGCTGGCCAAGCGGGGAAGACATGAAGGACAGGGATGGATGGGCACTGACAGGGCGAGTTTCTAGCTACTGAAAAGATCAAGGGCTTGACCTTTTGTTTTTTTTTGAAGGGAGATTGGCAATTGGGGCTAAAATACTCGGGGCTAGACTGCTTGGGGCTGTAGCCCCCAGTGCATTGACCCTGACAAGTAATAATAATAATAATAATTATTATTATTATTATTATTATTAAGACAATAATAATTATTGTTATTATCATTGTCATTATTGTTATCTATTATTATCATTATTATATATGAATATTATAATAATGCACATTTTATTAGACTCTTTGGAGTTATCAGTGATTCCAGCAGTAAAAATCAAGCTGGGTCAGTTTTGGATGGATGGATTTTGTGGGCAGTGTATGTTGGGTTAGTCCTTCCATTCTCTGTTTAAGTCCGTAAAACCGTGGCATCTGGTTCTGCATGGGGGAGTGCATTTTTTTATTCGTAAAATACAAACGTGGATTGTAGGAGAATGGGGATTCCCTGTGGTATCGCACTTTGAAGAGAAAGGGGATTCCCGGCGGTATCGCACTTTACTGAGGTACGCTCAGACTGTACCCATTTAATGTCTCCTCATTTCCTGATTTTCAGCACCACTGTGAGGTTAACAGATTGCTTTCATGCTCAAACTTTATTAATTTTGACCCCAAATACAAATGTATGTTTATATTTTCCCAAGTGATTCTGTATATAAAATGTATCTAACTTTTGCTGATGTCCTCCTTTCCACGTTGCCCAAAAATCAAGGTTTTAAACTCCCACAGATTTTTACCACCCAAAATCACTCTAACTTTTTAGCATGAATGGTAACTGAATACTGTGTTTAAAAGGAGTTGCTACAGATGTGGAGTTTGGTATCTCGCACTCCTAAACGGGGCCTTGTGATGTAGACGCTGGTGGTCAGCCGTTTCCAGCATGTTTTTGACATCAAATGCTTTGGCATCTGAGGCAAACTGGTTCATTTTGGATTTTAATTGCTGTTATAATTGTGCATTTCTGGGATTCCACATTGCTTGTAACCAGAAGAAACTGTGGGGTTTTTTTTAATACATGCTGCATTTTTCACAATAAATCCTGACAATGTGTTTCTTTGGTGTTTGTGGCTGGATATAGCCTGCTGCTGTCTAGTTGACCCTTCCCAGAACAGCTGATGGATGATGGCAAACGAGCACTCCTGAAAGCACAGAATGTGGTCCCAGTTTCCTGCAGATCTCTGCAGCAGCATCTTACCAACTATGTGACACCATGTCCCGTCAGCAGAAGCGGATGAGAGGGCGTACTTCAGCACTCTGATCCAGGGCATGATGGGTAATGGCTGCCTGATACCTCCTTGTTACAGGGACGCGGTGGGTCAGTCTGCTCCTGGTGGCCCCCCTGTACAATGTGGGTAGGATGGTCGGGGGTTGGGGGAAGGGCGGCTCTCTCGGGCCGCCGCAGAGAGCTGGTGTTGGTGGACCAAGTGTGTTGTTGTCGACGTTCAGAGGTAGGTTGTTGTTCTGGCACCAGTCTGAAAGAAGAACAGAGACATAGAAAAAAGAAGTTTGCTCATCTGTCTTGTTCTATTCGCATAGATGTACATGGGTCTGTAACTCCGCCTCCAAACCACAGGCATGCGGAGGAGGAAGTGAGTACAGCGCCTTTGGTCCAGCGTTCGATGTCCATTTCCAAAATGCAAACCCACTCAATACCGGAGTGAGGCGACGTTGAGGGCTGCGCTACATTTACAGCAAAAATTAACTCTGTTGGCTGCAAAAACATGTTACTTTAACTGCCGGTTAATGATTACGAAGATGGAAGATCAATTATACTGTTGCATGGAACTTCATAACAATGCTGGTTTGTTCCCCCTTTAAAAGCTCATTTCCACAATGTGTGTTTAAAGGACCGCAAACCAGCTTTTGTTGGTGTGGATATGGAACTGAAATAGTTTACATGTATTAACACCCCCCCCCCCCCCAGATTAAGATCTCTTACTGCAGTAAAAACCAAGGTAACGAGATCGACCATTCAGGCAGCATGTCTGGCTGCAAATAAGGGCAGTGAATCGCGCGGCCCTTTAAATGGACCGTCCCAGCATGCTCGGCGGCGGCCCGGCATTCACATCAGGCAGCTTGTATCCCCGTCCCCCTTAAATATGAGTCATCCCGCTGGCCGAGACACCGAGCCCAACCCCTCTCTGCACGAGCGGTCGACAAGGGAGGCAGGCACTGGCAGGGAGGCAAATGTGACATTCGAAGGCACAAATGCAATTACACGGTCCAGAGCCGTGGGGCACCGGCAACATGTCGCAGTGATGTTAACATCGCCAGTGCGTTATTAGGGACACATTCTGTGGCACCTCCGTGTGCCCCTGTAAGTGTGCGCGTGCCTTTCCAGTAACATTTTCAGCTGCGTTTTCAGTTGTGGTCTGATGGGCTCAGAAATGGTTAACTGCATCAATATGACGGTCAGGGAGAGGTCCCCACAAAGCCATGTGTCTGTGCGAGTCTGTGCATATCCACCATGTGTGTCTGATGCCATTTCCATCTTTTGCTGAGCTGTGTTGGGTTGAGGTTAGGACTTCCCACAAAAACAGAACGGAAAATGTCCGTGTGTCTTTAAGGAATAACTACACATATATCACATATAAGTGATAATGCCACTCTCAGATACCTTACCCTTACTTGATTTGAAAAATGAAGCATATTAATAATACATTCTTTTGCCCATTGAGAAGTAAAAAAGAACATCGTTTCATCCATTTTTCTTTTAATGATAAAACTTCTTTACTACAATTTTGCCAATGAGCAAATGCTGAAATCACATAGGTGCAAATTGTCTTACCAGTTTTATTTTGGCAAATGCAAGATAAAGCGAAGGGATCTGCCTGTCGAATGATGAACAGAGTTTGGTGTCTCATGTTTTTTTGTTTATCCTTATGCACATAATCCACTCAAAAGTACAATAAGACATGTAACTTTCAAGTGCAATTATTTTGCAAATGTTTACTTTGAAAAACAAATAAAAACGTTTTTAAAAAGTGCAATAAAAATGAGTGATAAGAATCAGAAGACTTCAGAAGTGTTGCTCTGAGGATGAAGACCAAGCTTTGCTGCCAGAATGACTTCCATGGATCATGAGGTAGTTATCTTGATATCTTGGGATATCACAGTAGCAGTACGACAAAAATATGCCACAAGCTTAACTCTCAACAGAACCTGTCTCAGATGACCCTAGCTTGGCCCTCTGGCACCGAGATGCGCCTTGAAAGAGTTCGGCTATGAGTCTGGCTCTCTTCTCTGACCGCGTCTTCTATCTGCAGGAGAAGGGAGCTCTTGAGCTTCTTTCGGAAGTCGTGTCCCACAAGTACATAGAGAACGGGGTTGAGGAAGCTGTTGGCGGAGGCTATGGTGCTTCCCACCATCAGGCCCGTTTTGATGACCCTGTAGCTGAAGATGCCATGGTTCAGCTGGAGAAGCACAAAGACGTGGTAGGGGAACCAGCAGAGGAAAAATGCCACGATGAGCGCCGACATGACCCGGAAGGGTTTGGAAGACTTTGTCGCCCGTTTGCTCCAGAGCTTCTTGATTATGAAGGAGTAGCAGGTGATGATGACCAGAAATGGCACGACGAAGCCACAGAGGAAGCGACTCAGGGCTATGATACCTTGGCTGTCACCATAATCAGTGTAACACACCATGACACTCCCATTCGCTTTCACCTGACGGAAGGCCAGAGCCGGAATGCTCAGGGCTGCCGAGGTGACCCAAGCCACGAGGACAGAGATGGAAGCTTTCCTCAGGGTACGGTGGTTGAGGGACCAGACCGGGAAGGCCACCATCAGGCAGCGGTCAACGCTGACCAGGACCAGAAGGAAGATGCTGCTGAACATGTTGAGGAGAAGAACCAGAGATGCGAGCTTACACATGAGAAGCCCGAAGGGCCAGCCAACGTCGGCCATGGTGGTGATGTTGAAGGGAAGGAAGGAGCAGTAAATAAAATCGGACACCGCCAGACTGAGGTACCAGGTGGTGTTGACAGTCCTCTTCATCCTGAACCCGGATATCCAAATGACCAGGCCGTTTCCACAGAGCCCCAGCAGGCAGATGCCGACGTTGATGGTCATGAGGGCTTCTGAGAGACCGGAGGGGAGGCCCACGGAATCCAGGGGCAGCGACTCTGGCTCCAGGGGACCGTCCTCTGTCTCATTGCTCACTCTGTAGTCGTCATAGAAACTACTGTCAATGAACTCCATGGTAGCTGAGAATTAATTTTTTCCTTTTTGCTACTGCTGTGAAGAGAATAAAGACTGAAAATTATTAAATGTTCCTCAATGGCATTTGAAGAGTAATTTGACATAAAATGACACATTTCCATAATTCCTTCCATTTGGGTGAAGGTCGGGGTCCGTGTATATTTTAAATGCCAAGTTGCCTTTTGAGGTTTTTCTGTTGGCGGTTACAATTTTGCAACATTGCATTGCTGGTTTCCTGCATGTACGCATCATGTCGACTATTTACCTCAGAAAATAAGAAGGCCAGATGTTCAAAGGTAAGGAAATACAATATAGCACAGGATTCCCAGCTGGTAGAGCCTTACCTCTAAGGTCAGGGAGGTGTCATGGAAGACAAAAGTCCCCAGCGCCTCCTTTGATCCTCCTTGAAGTGAATTTGCCTGGACACTTCCCCTTTCTTCCAGTATGTAAGCGTGACTCACGAAGATGACCGTGGTCTCACTGCTGATCCAGCCAATCACAGCATCCTGTTCTGTGAAAGTAGTTCCCTGTGAATATGGAGTTTCACAGCTGCAAGTGATAATGCCACTTTCAAATATCTTACACCGATCTTAAAAAGTTTAATGTGTTAATAATACATTATTTTAAATGTCACGAAGGGGGAAAATAACAGGATTTCATTATTACCAGGAAATTCAGGTGAAGGTACGTTTAACACAATTGGGCGGGAAAAACGACGGCAAGTGACATATTTTTGCCCAATGTCTGTTTATACCACATGCTGAATTTCGTAGAGAACAAAAAAAAAAGTCGTTGCAGATGTTGGTGCAGCTTGCTTCTGCCAGACCTGCTTGTTGAATAGGACATGATTTCTCCTGAAGAACTGGGACGGCTGCTTTTAAGCATCTGCGCTGGTTCAGTATGATAACAACACGTTTTGGTGAGACTTTGGAGTCCTGGCCTGAAATGATACTCGCTATGTAAAACCTCAACACCTATTTTTGGGTATTAATGATGTGACCTTACCTTAAACAGGCAATACTGGTGGAAGAAAACAAGCGGATTGTATTCAACGCTTTAGTTAATGGAAACTTTTATGTTATATATTAAGTTATTAGTGAAAACTTATTTATTAAAAGGTACCTGCTATAGAAGCCTTTGCCTGCAAAGTGTACAGGGTCTCATGTATGACAGCAGTTTTTGCTTTTAAGAAATCCCAGTTCCTCATATGTGCTTGGTTCATATCACTTTCAATGTTTCCCAGTGGTAGTTCTAGCTTGTATGGCGCCCTGGGCCAACCAGGGAGATTTTAACGCTTCCCCCCCCCCCAACCCAAACAAAACTGTTATTTTTATTAAAACAATTAGAACAATATAAATAAATAAATATAAAATGTAATTTATTGTATTTTATTAATTGGATTGGTACTGCACAAAGTTGGATGTGCACGATTGGATCGATTCCTCTGCTCCCCCCTACCTCGGGCTTCCAGTGGGGTGACCTGAGCCCCCCCCCCCCCCCGAGGAAGCAGTTGCACAGATCAAGCAGGATCTGAAGGCCTGTCCCTGGAGGTTATAGTGCTGGCCAGTGAACCACTCCAGTACTGGAAGGAATATGGCCAACAGCTTAGCTAATACATCATGGACGTCTGTCAGAAGCAGGCTCGTCATTCCAGAGATTTCAGGAGCACAAGTCACAGATGCAGATGTGATGGAAATGACTGACCACTAGGGGGTGCAGCACCATTCAACTGCTTAGATTCGGGGGGGGACACCAGATCTCCTGCGGAGGAGGCCTTGAGTGGGATGAACCATCCAACGCCACATCTCATCACGCATACCTGAGTATGCAGCTGTAATTAAATGCATTTCAACAAAAGACAGAGCTGCCTCCCTTAGTGACAAGCGACTGGCGCTGTCTTACAAACATCTGATTGATTTTTATAAATAGCTGTCTCCTTTCATCCAAATAAACACAGTTCCCTCGCCGCGACCAGTCATTTGCGCTCCGGTCTGCCGCCGATTGCCGATTTCGGCTGCACGCCGAGGATGGGGAACAGGGACGCCACGGCAAAATAAGCCGTAATTCTCGCCAGGATAAGAGGCTTACGTTGCAGGATAGAAAGCCAACTTAACAAATCTCATGCAGGCAGAGGTTGCTGGTGCGGCGTAGAGATGAAATGTGTTTCATGATTGTATGTGTGGGGAGGGCGAGGTCATCACAGATACCCGTCGTCCATTAAGGAAGACTATGGATCCATATTTGCGTACCAAAGGTGTTTTACTGAAAGATGATTCGTTGAACAGCTCGAGGCTAAGACACGTCCCTGCTGATCTGGAAAGGATATTATATGCCCTACTGGGGAGGGAGGGTCCTCGAGCAACGCTTACAGAGGCAATCCATTAAAAAACAAGATCTGCTGGCGAACAAAATGAAATTAGGTATCATTTACGAAATTATGCTCCAGGAATTGGCCAAGAATGCAATTCCATTGAAACCAAAGGTGTCTAAGAACAAACGATGAGTCCCCTGAATTTAACCTTTCCATATATTTCAAGGTTACGTGCATTACCCTAAAAACAATCTCCCAGAAAAACCCTAAAAAAAGACACAGATAAAGGAGTCTGACTTGCCGCTTGCGGCAGCCTTTGGTGGCACAGGGCGCTGGCTGATGTTACTCTTTATGGGACATAAAGCTTCTCTGCTTCATTTATTCTCAGTCCCTGTGCCGTAAATCTCCGCAACAGTAAAACAGAATCAGGTTTTTTTTCTGACCGAAAAGGACACTTAAGCTATAAGTTTAATGACTAATAACGAACTGATCACTTGCAGCTAGTTTAAGTGGTTAGCTTTGCATGACATTAACCGAAGGTGGATAGTTAAGGGCCAGAAAGTAAAAATCCAGACCATGATTTTGTTTCAACCAGCCAATTCAGCATAAAGAGTCACAGTCACAGAGTACTCAGCTGGTTGGTTGAAACAAAATCTTGGTCCGGACTGTAATTCTGGACCTGTACTATCCACTTCTGGAATTAACAGACTCTGCATCATGACTGGCTTTATCTTTTCAGGGCTGTACTTGGGAGGCCCCCCTTCCAAGAAAATTGATCCTCTGCAATGCAGGTAATGTGGGGGGGGGGGGGCTTGGCAGCTGCCACTAGCACTGCTTTGCATACTGGGACTGGAGTCCATGGCTTCAGGGATCACCTCACCCCAAACTGTAACACTGTCTCCAGACCATCCAAATACGGACATGTGGCATAAACACCGTCCAACACAGGATCCATTAGCATTTATCTCAACACCATGTGCCCTGCAGACTGGACAACTGGGCCAAAGCCTGTCCTGGTAATTTGCAGAGTCGTTTACATCTCTCCATTAACATACTACAGTGCCTGTTATTTGCAGAAGGCTCAGCAAGTGGAAAATCCTTCTGAGAATGTAAACAGGAACGTTTTTACAATCTGCTGATGCTGGAGTCAAGCAAAATAATGGCATTTGTATATTTAAGAAGTGGCTGTCACAAGATCAGAGCTGCCAAACAGGAAACAGACCATTGCTGTTTACCACCGAAACTGACCCCTGACCAAATTATGGTTTCATTTGACATAAAATCACTTTACACAAATGATCATTTCTGTCTTGGGTGCAAATTTGATCTGAATCCAACCAGATGGACTCATCTACAGCTATGTCATCCCATTCTTCTGTATGTTACATAGTCCTCTTTCCCCACCCCTAACCTTCCAACCACATCCCCCCTATGTGCAATGAATCCATTAGCAATGCTACCTGTGAATCTCTGTAAGCATCATCGTCACCATGCCAGACAGGCTGGGTGAGGTTAATTAATCTATACAAATTAAACCAATGAGTCATTTTATTATACACTCTCCGGCCAAAAAGAAAGTTGCCATTTGAATCTATATCAGCAAATATTTAGGAGCCAATGACTGGATCATTATTACAGCTCCGCTACGTTATGCAGCAATAAAGTGAAGTCAGCTGAGTACCTGAATCTACTGAATGGCCAGGTTACACCTCCATCCATCATCAATAGATTGTTTTCTTCCCTGTTGGCATGGGCATATTCCAGGACAAGAACGCCAAGATTCATTGGGTTCGAATTGTCAGAGAGTGGTTCAGGGAGCATGAGGAATCATTTTCACACATGATTTGGTCACCACAGAGTTGTGACCTTAACCTCATTGAAGGTCTTTGGGATCTGCTGAAGGAGGCTTTATGGAGTGGTTCAACTCGCTTGTCAATACAAGATCTCTGTGAGAAATTAATGCAAATATGGATGAAAATAAATGTTGAGGTGTTGCATAAGCACGTAGGAACAATGCCGTGACAAATGTGTGCCATAATCAAAGGCGGTCCAATGAAAAATACAAAAGCCGACTTTTTTTTTTTGGCCGGGCAGTGTATGTACACAAGAAACATCTAGCTGCTTAGATGGTTTCAGAAATGCATCGGCAACATGCCAGGTCACTGTTAGTGGAGTGGCTAAGGGCACAGCCGTAGCCCTGGGGATTTGACCCAAAAACCTTTGAGCATCAATTCAAAGGTTGTTGGGTCAAATGCCCTGAGGTACGAATTTACCAAGAACCTAACCTCAATGTAGATGAAATTGTCAGTTGCAGCTAGAGGATTACACTATAGCATGCTTCCTTATTCAAGTTTGGATTCATCATTTGAGGGGTCTGCCTGGCCAACACAATGTCTATCCTACCAGCAAAGCACATCAAAACAGCCAAACACAAAAAAGTTAAACATTTGAGGCTTTGGGCACAGCCAGTCTGATTAGAAGCATTTCCTCAGGAGGAATCAGAAAAGACAGATACGACAGGAAGATGAAAGAGTAGGTGACCACTGGCAAGGAACAGAGCCGGCAGATAAAAAACTCCACCCATCCAATCGGGCAGTTATGATTCCTGGAAATTCTGTACATTGTTCCTCGGCCTTGTTTCATTTCCCATTCCCATTTATCAATATTTCTGCAGTGGAAAAGCAGAGAGAGAGAGAAAAACATGCTGTCTGATCCAGACTGGTGAATAATTCAGAGGCTTTTCTGCTGAGAGTATGAAACAACGGACAGCCCTGGCACCATGAGGCTCTAAGAACTGCGAGTGGGAAGAGCTCCTCAGCAAGCCATAAGGAGCCGGGTGTTTTTAAGAGGTCACTCTAGCTGCGCATTTCTATACTTTGGTGATTTTTGTTTTTCTGCTTGGCAGCTCTGGCGATGATCTATGCAAAATGCAAATGTGTAATCACCATGGAGATGAATACATGTCCAACTTTTAAGGTGCAAGAAGCAGAGGCAAGACTTAAAAAAATAACAGTAGCAAATGTATACTGATTGGTTTCAGTTTGAATGATGGTAAAACTATACAATCCATTTATAACAGGGGTGGGGAACCTGATCCATGGAGGGCCAGTGTGGGTGCTGGTTTTTGGGATGGCCTCTCAATCAACCAATAATAAAGCAGCGGTTC